ATAAAGAATTCCCTCCCCTGCTCCCCTCCCCTCCTTCCTCTGTTATCTTTCGGAAAACTCCCCGAGCCCAACTCGCGGCTGGTCAAGCTTGGCTGCTCCCGCTAGTTTTACTTTAAATGAATCTTCTTTCTCCTTTTTCAAAGAGGGTCTCTTGTCCCCGCTTATTCATTCCCGCCCCCCACCTCCCAACTCGGAACATTTACACTTCAAAAGCGGCACCCGCGTCTCTGCGGAAATTTGGAGAGAGAGAAAAAAATAAACTTTGGGGGGATTGGGAAGATAGCGATCTGTGCATTTACTTCATTACCTCCACTCCCCAATTGATCAAGCAAAGCAAACTCACTGATCTCATCCGCCCCCCCCCCCCCACCCCCCACTAATCTGAACTCTCAGCCCTCCTTGGACTCTTCGGACAATGTGATTTCTCTTCCCCCTCGGAGAATCTTGCATTTCCCCCTTGACCTGGGACGGAGAACAAGGCAGCGCATTACTGCTTCTGGGTGCCTCGGCCATTGCTGCTTTGCTGAGTCTCTCCTCCTCCTTCCTTGATCTTTGGGACCCGGGTAGGTCTGCTAATCCAGCAGGCTCCATTGCTGCCGATTAATTGCTCTCTCCTGATAAAGAGCAGGAGCATAGACTGTCGCCTTTGCACAGCCAAGAATGGGTTCAGGCCAAAAGAAACGCAGGGCGGTGCCTTTTTCTACCCTGGTGTTAAATCGGCTTTCTCTCCCCCCCCGCCCCCCATCACTACCTCGCAAGCTACTTGGGAAGATACCTACGGGTAGAAGACCGTCACTATAGCTGTAGTAACACAATGACGCCGCAAACTCTCTAATTTGTTGAAAGAGGGGGTCCTGCTGGGACGTAAGCAGCACCTGCAGGCCATCGCGAGCAGGCCGAAGTGCCACTAGGAGCAGAGGGCAAGAGGGCAACGCGAAGATCTTCCGGAGACATGGCGAAGGGAGCGGGCGGTCAAGAGACGGGCACCCATCCCGTCCAGCTCGTGCCGCAGTCCAAAGCGTGCCGGGGGGCAACAGCCCGAGAAAGGCGGGCCGCCGAGGGATCCACGCGGGACCTCTCGGTGCAAGGGGCCAAGCGACGCCCACGCGCGACCCTCCGACACTTCCGCTTCCAAGCGTGAGGAAATAGTTCCGGCTCAAGCGCTCAAGCTTAATGGATAGGGCGTCCCTTGCGCCTCTTTTTCCGCCGCGCCGCACCGGCAGTTTC